ACCACTATGAGCATATTCCGGCGACGGTGGCATATTTCGGTGACAAAATAGCATATTCCAGCGAGAAAAAAAGATATTCCGGTGACCGGCGACCGATGGCTGAATTCCGACAACCAAAATTTTGGGCCGAAAAATAAAAAAATATTTTTTTTATTTTTTATTATTTTTTATTATTTAAACATATTTTTCATAATGACAATTATACCCCTGTTTTGATTTTACACTAGGTCAACTCATCTAATAAAAAGTCATCACAACCCTACCTTCCTATTGGTTGGAGACTAGTGTTGTTACAATAACAACACAAGGAGTGTTGTTACCGTAACTGGTCCCCTCTGGCTCCGTGGCCTTGTGATTTACATCGTTAGATTCTGGCACTTAAGATTGATTCATCGTCTAGAGAGAGAGAGGGAGAGAGATGAGTCGTTGGTTCCATGTGGATGTCGCGAACAAACATTCACGTCGTCGAGCCCATTTCTCTTGGGTCTCTTGATCTTCGGCCTTGGGGTAGGGTTCTCTTCTCTCTTTCTCTCCGCCATAGATTTGTTTTTGTATTATGACTGGTGAGGGCGTGGAAACCCTAACCCTAGCGAGGAGCATTTAATGGCCACTTTTCCTACACAAAGACACACACTCCCATTTCAATTAACTATTCGAGGAAAACATTAGCTGACCAATTTAATTAATGTGCTGACAGTAATAATTAAGATAGTTAAATAGCAATGATAGTAAAATTAGGTTCATCAGCTGTGGGCCGTGTGGCCTTCTTTCCCTCTCTCTCTCTCTCTCTCTCTTCCTCTCTTTTAATTTGTATCGTGTTTCTCATATGCTGATTATGACACCATTATCATATGAAGTTTTGATTAGTCAAAGGAGAACGTGGTTCCAGGAAGCATTTCAATTCCTCTAGAATTCACTTCCTTGTTGCCAACCCATCACGAGGCCCCGGCGGTGGTCTCTCTCTCTCTCTCTCTCTCTCTCTCTCTCTCTCTCTCTCTCTCTCATACATTCTTTTACTTTTGAATTTTGTCCTGCTCCTTGTCCAGGCCGACATGCTGTCCCAGACCCACTTCTCGTAAACAACTACTGCAGCGGCACCTGCTAGAGGTGAGATTAGAACCAGACCAGAGAAAAAAAGGAAGCCAGATACCAGAGACAACCCATCTATTTACATATGAAATAGTATGATAGAAAGACATTGCAAAAATGATGTTAGAATACCAATAGAGAAGATCTCAATGCCCGAAAACAAAATTCCAATGCTACCTAAAGATATGACATATACCTTTCATTCATTTATTAATAACATATGAGTATTAGTTAGGTTTTATTATGTTACTTATAACTATTTTTTTAAGGAAATCATTAACTTGTGGACTCGAGATTTCAAAATATTCGTAGATTGTAAGGACCATATTGCGGAGCTCCAACTCATTCTCAAGAGATGAGATATAGAGGTGGACTAAGAGGACAGAAAGGATCATTATTCAACTTTAGGCATTTAAGCATGCGTAATTTAAGCGTGCGTAATGTTATTGAGCGTTGCTTCTTATTTTAAATGCAAGATTTTTAATTATAAAATTCATGTGGTTGTATAGCTGGAAGAAGCAAACACTTATTGTCATTGTTTGTTGTGCCTTACATAATTTCATCGATATTCATTCTCAATGAGATGAATTATTTCATCAATATGAAAATTATAAAGATGAAGAAGGTTCAACTTCTGGGGTTAAAGTACCACTCACTGAGTTTAATGTCAGCAATGATGCAATCGTGGATTGATTTCCATCAATTATTGCATTTGGATAATATTTCTGTTTTATGCAATTTTGGATATAATTTGGATGTTTGGGAGACTTTAGGAAGTTGTTTTGCATTATTATATCGCTTGCTTCAAAACCAACCAACTTTCTCAAACTGAAGGCGATCTTCTTCCAAAAGCCAAATCAACCATTTACAATACTTTGATTGGTTGTTTACAATACCTCTACAATGCCCGATCGCAGTTTCCTGTATATCTCTTGGCCCATCCGGTTGCTAGTGCATGTACTCCACATCATTAAGCTATCCAACGTGTACTTCATTGCATCAAGTTTGCTCCAGCTCGTGGTCTTTTCTTCTCAGCAAAACCATCATGACTCACAATACAAGCTTACTCCGATGTTGATAATTGGGCAGGATGCATCTACATTAGACAATCAACAACATGCTACTATGTTTTCCTTGGGAATTCACTTATTTTTGGCTGCCCAGAAATAGTGATAAAATGATTTTTTTTTTAATTTCTTAGATGTTTGTATGCCATAATCATCATTTTAGCCATTTCAGATGGATTTTTTTGTTATAATTACTTCCTATCTTCACAGGCTGAGATTTAGCACGAATTTGTCTTCATTTGGCCATTTGGCTTGAAACTTGTTCATTCTCATTTATTTCTAAGCTAGCTTGTGTTTTCTTACTTAATCTCATGTCCTATGAGTGTTCTACCACTGCACTACAAGTCATTGCAGGTTTAAAAGCTAAAACTTATCACACTATAAACAAAATTCCCTATTGAAAGATACCCAAAAAAATTGATTTCGCATAACCCTATTATTCGAAAACAACTTGTGGGTATTATCATGATGTTACGATTGTGAGAGATTCGCTGAATTGAAAAAGATTTGATTAATTATCCCAAGTTATGTTGAAGACAAAAGTACATTAGTCATATATGTTAGTTCATTTGCTTTTGAAGCTACTTTTGACTCCACCCATTGCAGCTACAAGTGTAGAAATAACATTTTTCAGCTATGAGCTACATTAAGAGCAACTTTTGAAGTCGAATTTGCGACCAGTTTGCTATTTATCATTTAGTTGAATAAGCTGAAAAATAATTACTTAAGAGAGTTGACAACAAATGTCTTTTGCGTTTCCGTTCAGAATATGAACACGCACACGCATCATGGTTATTTATGAAAACAATGACTGTACATAATATCAAGTATTTCTCTGCTATATATGAATGAATTAATTGAATATTATTAACTTTCACTTATTTATTTCTGTAAAGAGGACATGAATACTTTCGAACCCCCATACGACCTCCGTGTATATGAGTCATATTACTCTTTGCAAAAAGTTGGATTTTTTTCCCCAGCAGATTTTTTCTTTGAACTTTCATCTTATCGATAGAGCAATGATGCGGAGAGTTGTTTGATAATTCATTGGAGTCGGTCTACTCAAAAAGTTTATCTACATGAGAACATTCAGTTGTACAAGTAGGGGTGTCCATTCGAGTTCGGTTTTTCGGGTTTACCCGAAACTAACCCGATTATATACATTTTCAGTTTTTTGGGTTCGAGTTCGTTTCGGGTTTCGGTTTTTTTGGTTTCGGGTTCGGTTTTTCTTATCGGTTTTTCGGGTTCCGGCTAAAAACCTCGAATGAATAGAACTCAGCCCGTATTTTTAGGCGTTCGGGTTTCGATTTTGCTTTAACCGAACCCGATAATGAATTTTCAGGTTTCGGGTAACCGGAACCCGCAAGTCCTTATCGGGTTCGGTTTTAGTACTTTTGGTTTCGAGTTTTGGTTTGGGTAACCGAACCCGACCCGAACTGACACCCCTATGTACAAGTTACAGTGGTGTTTCCCAAACTAGATGAAGACTGGTGCCGAAGGAGTCGTCGTTCAGGTAATTCATACCATTTCCCGTCTTTTTCCTAACATGATGGAAATTGGATCCTCTCTCTCTACCTTTTTTTCAAAATTACGCTCCCCCTTCTCTCATAGTCACTTTCCCATCCTTTCCCCAGGGGTGGCCGCCGGCACCTTCTGGTGACCGGCGGTGCCCAATCTTTTCCCCCTTCTTGCTTCTGGTTTGGAAAGTTTTCTCCTGCCTTTTCCTGTCTTGTTCTCACCTTTCCAGCCGTTATGGCCTTTCAATTTCATCTCTAGTTGAGCTTGTCTCTTCGTTTCAATGTCTTGGATTCATGTTTTGGGCTTGCTCAGTGAGGGATCTGGAGAATGCAGCTTGGGAACTTCATTCTGGTTGGTAGAATGGCCGATTCCCAAGTTTGGTGGGTTCATCGTCGGTGAAGCCATTCTTTGTTTTCCCCTTCCGGCTTCCCTTGGCAGTTGTCTGTTGCTGTGGTGCTCGTTGGATTGTGGAGGGTATCGTCTTCTCCAATGAGTTGCAGATGCCTGGTGTCTCTTTGGTGTTTGGTGGCTCAATCAGATTCTTCCACTCTCTTGGATCCATGCTTGCTGCCTCAGCTCCCTCTGCCTTTTCAGCTCGGAGCAATCTTTTCACTTCCTTCTCCACCGCCATGTAGTCTCGTTCTGAGATTCGCTGTGATGGATGTCTTTGAGCAGTCCCCAGGAGGCGGCATATGGTATTGCTTTGTTCAAGCCATGGATTTCGTTGTGATTGGACGAGTTGTTTCTGATCTTGGTGGTACTATGTTTTGTTTGGTTGCGAGAAGTTTTCTGGATCTACTGTTTTTGGATCTTGCGTTCTGATCTTTTGGGTGGTTGTTTGTTCTCTTTGCTTTGATCTTCTCTGTTGTATCTCTCAAGCACGGTCTGTGTCAACCGTTTGGTCGAGATCTCAGTTCGCCGATTTGGTTTCAGTTTGATCCATTCCTCTTTGTAACCGATCATTCATAGTGCAATACAAGATTTCCCTTTCTCAAAAAAAAAAAAATAAGCATTTGATTTTCAAAATAGTTGAAAACCCAACATGTGCACACCCCCCCCCCCCCACCAACTCCAAAGTCCAAACCCGAGTCCAGTGGTCCACACTCCGAACCGCCAAACCTTTCTCTCTCCAAAACTGTTATAAATACCATCCACTGGATCCACCTCTCACTTTCAAGTTTCAACACACACGTTCATCTCTCTCTCTCTTTCTCTCTCTCTCTCTCCCCCCAGTGTCCTAGAATCCCAAATAACTAGGCCACAGTTGATAGTTGAGACCTTGTATTATCAATCAAGATAAGGAGATCGATCCATCGATCGAACATGGGAGGCGCATCGCCGTGTGCATCTTGCAAGCTGCTGAGGCGGCGGTGCGCGAAAGACTGCATCTTCGCCCCTTACTTCCCCTCCGACGACCCCCACAAGTTCGCCATCGTCCACAAGATCTTCGGCGCCAGCAACGTCAGCAAAATGCTCCAGGTCCCACCTTCATTTTCATTCCCCTCCAAAAATACCCTCTCTCTCTTTCTCTACACGGGAAACGACATCGTCTATCTATTTACTAAATATAAATGGAAAAAAAAAAAAACGGACATGCAGGAGATAGCGGTGCAACACAGGGCGGACGCGGTGAGCAGCCTGGTGTACGAGGCCAACGCCAGGGTGCGGGACCCGGTCTACGGCTGCGTCGGGGCCATCTCCTTCCTTCAGAACCAAGTCTCCCAGCTCCAGATGCAGCTCGCCCTCGCGCAGACCGACATCCTCTGCATCCAGATGCACCACGACCCTGCTGCCGTTGCCACCACCGCCAACTTGCAGCTAGACCACCAGCAGCAGCAGCTTGCTCTTGTAAATCACAATCACCATGATTTGGCGGACAGCAAGTCGCTTCTCCTGGCGAGCACCAACTTCGGGGCCACGCTTCAGAATCATCCGTACCTCAACTTTGCCACTTCTGGTGTGAACAATGTGATGATCCAGCAGGATCCTCTTAAACGAGAATCCCTTTGGACTTGATATCTAATAGAATATCTTATCAGTATTAATTAATTAACTGGCTAGCTAGATTAATGAAATCTCAATGTCCCTTTTTCTAATTTCATCTCTTCTTCTAGCCGGCTGCTGGTGGGGATTCTGTTTCTTCTCTTGTACAAAAAAGATCAACTTTTAATTTGCTTTGTCAACGGACGGGTTGGGTAATTAATTGATTACTCTGATAATAATCGTTAGGTTTCGAGGCAAGAGATAATAAGGAAATTATAATAATAACTGGGTTTGCCGCAAAAACTTTTTTTTTTTTTTTTGTATCTTGGTTTTTGCAGTGAACAGTGTGAAATGAAGCATAGAGAGGTCAAACAAGTGCATGTGGGTGCGTGGGGAGGAAATAGAGTACACTATATAGGGTTCTCAGTAACATATATACTAATTTCTGTTACTTCAACAGCAAGTTACGACTGCAGTTTTTGGGGGGTTCTTGTCGATGGACCAGACTAGCTATTTAGCTACTACCCTTTAGTTTACGAGAGGGGGTGGGGGCAGAAGATACACTAACGAAAAAAGGAAATGAAAATCCTAACTATAGTGTTGTAGCTGTTAAATTCATTTACGTATATATGATTAGAAAAGAAAAGTATATATAGCTCGTGAGCTCTAGGATGCTAATCAGACTAGGATGGCAACAAAACCCGAACCCACGGGTACCCACCAGACCCAATCCGGTCAACGCGGGGTAAAACCCGTGTTGACGGGTTTTGGGCCGGGTTTGGGTTTAAACCCGCTATACTATTCACCGGGTCGGGTTGGGTTTGGGTTTAGGTAAACCCGCCCCATGGATACCCGCCCATACACATATAATTACTTTCCCGGTATATTTAATATTCTAAATAATATATCTTCATTAAACAACTAATATTCTTTATGTTTGTGGAGACATGTATAATTTGTTCTTTCTAATTGTTTAGAATGAAGTTGATATTATGAAGTGGAGATTGAAGAAACTTAGTTGACGAGGAAGAAGTTTTCAATTAATCTTATTGTTTATAGATGTTTATCTTTAATTTTGAACAATTTGTATTGATCATTTGCGGTTTGCTTGTATGCTCTAGATTGGTGTTTTTTGTATGAATAATTTGTATGAGAAAATTGATGTTAAACTTTTATTTTTAAAGAAACTTGTTATTGTAAGTTTTTTACCATAAAATCCACGGGTACCCATGAACCCGCGGATACCCAGCGGGTTGGGTTTGAGTTTTTCAAACCCAGCGGGTTTTACCCCGGTTTTTTGACGGATAAACCCATGGGTTTGGGTTTGGGTTTGACCAAACCCGTCCCAACTCGACCCATTGTCATCCCTAAATCAGACTCACCGTATCTCGTGTTGGGGTGTGCAACAGTTCGGTCCAGTCCGGATAAGATCAAAACTAATGAGAACCACAATTAGGGGTGTCCATTCGGGTTCGGTTTTTCCGGTTTACCCAAAACCAACCCGATTAGATACATTTTTGGTTTTTCAGGTTCGGGTTCGTACGGGTTTTTCTGTTTCGGGTTCAGTTTTGCTTATCGGTTTTTCGGGTTCCGGCTAAAAACCTCCAATGAATAGAACTCAGCCTGTATTCTTAGGCGTTCGGGTTTTCAGGTTTCGGTTTTGCTTTAACCGAACCCGAACCCGAACCCGGTAAGGAATTTTCGAGTTTCGGGTAACCGGAACCCGCAAGTCCTTATCAGGTTCGGTTTCAGTGATTTTCGGTTTTGGGTTTTCGGGTTTTTTCAGGTTTCGATTCGGGTAACCGAACCCAACCCGAACTGACACCCCTAACCACAATCTATTAGTGAAAGACATATTATACGTATTAACAAGGTATAATACAGGTATAGTATTAGCCTCCCTCGTTCTACACTCATACCCGCTGGTCAAGAGTATTTATATATATAGACGATCATATTTTAATATCTCAATAACCGTAAGAGATTTAAAACTTAGTGAGCTGGAAATGTAATTGATTAGTGACAACTCAAATCAAATACTAATTAATTTCCCTCCATTCATTTTTTCGCCTAATATGTGATGAATATGAGTTTGAATATTTAAAAATAAGAATGGAGATAATTTACAAAATCCCGCCACAAATCCACTCATTGCCATTAATTAGTAACCTCTATATATAATTAGATTATAAAACGTGTTGGCCAGGCCATGACAACTGGGTTTTTTTCTGGTTTATTGGATTTTGCAATGCCCAGTACGTACATACATAACGTGAAATTATGAGAAAAGGGAGACTGCGGTTTCGTGAAGATAAATCAAAGAAAAAGGCTGGCGATGGCGACGGCCGACCACCGTGCATCCATCCCCCTTCCTCCCCTCTGCAATTATTTCTACTCAATAATGAACAATGCAACCGGCAACACCTTGTTTAATTAATTTCTAGTCCTTTAAATATTGGATCAGGGATTCTTCCTCATTAACGTCGACTCACGTAGTTACGTGAGAGATATTAGAAAAATGTATGCTAGACAATGAAGGTGAATAAACGAAAGAAAAAAAAAATATCAGTGCTGTCCACTGGCTATTATTTTTCATTTAATTTAAAACTAGTTTTTTGGCCCGCTCTTCGCGGTGGTAAGAAACTAATTATATTTTTTTTGAATAAGAAACAAATTATATTTAACATGGCATTCATTAATTTAATAATTTAGTTTCGGAGAAGATACCTTCATGTATTTTACGTAGTATTTTATTCATAATGGAAGACTGTCGTAGTACATTTGCTTAATTGATGCATAAGAAATAATTATCCCTCCATAAAGGTTACGGTGTTTCAAAATCTTTCGCAATGTATGGTCTAATAATAAAATCAAGTTACAAAAAAGTATAACATCTGATAAAACTATTATGTAAAAGTTAACATACCCTAAATGAATTTTAGTTCAAACTTATATCACGGAAGACATATGCAATATGTTTGTTTCTTAATAATCATGGTAGAAAAACGTACCACGTTTTGTCTAATTGACAGATACAAAATAACTATCCCTCTATAAATTGGGATTTTTCCAGAACTAGCACCTTTTTAAAAAAAAAGGTTTAATACACTTGTATATCCAAACTTTCACGGTTGTGCCAATAATATCCAAATTTCTCGAAATACCACTTATATCCATGTTTTAAAGTTGTTATTTGCCAAATCTATCCATTTTCCAATATATTTTTGGTTAAATACACTTGTATATCCAAAAACACCGTTAAAGAATGTGAAGGAATTGGATATAAGTGGTATTTCGGGAAATTTGGATATTATTGGCACAACTGTGAAAGTTTTGGATATACAAGTGTATTTAACCTATAAAAAATTACAAAAATAGCACCCAGTCCAAAAAATTACAAAATAGCACCATTATTTTGAAACCGCACCTTGGAGGTGCGTTCCATGCCACGTCAGCAAGCGAACCGCACCAAGAAGGTGCGGTCTGTGTTTCCTCGGGAGCGGGCTTGGAGACCACTGGATCAGGCAGCGATCCAACGACGGACCGCACGCCACCTCAGCGATCTGCGCCATGGATCGAAGAGCGCCTCGAGAATCGTAGAATGCATCGGGAGGGTGCTGTTTCTGGCAGGGCAAAATTACCAGACCGGCCCTGGAGGGTGCGGTCTGTGTAGTATAAATACCCCCCTCCCCCCTATCATTTCTTCACACCACAACCCATTCTTCACTCACTCTCTAAAATTATCTCTCTATCCCCTCCCCTCCCAAAAGCTTAGGAAATAGTGGTATGTTGGTTGCGGCTAAGTTCGATCTGCCATCATAAAACATTTCTTTGGGTTTTCCCTCAAAACCCCCCGAATTGCTGTCCGACTTTCGTGAAAAAATGGACGAGTGGTTCCAAGGAGAAGGAGTTTATTATGATGAATTTCAAGCGGTACGTACTCATTATTTTGGTCAATTTTTATTTTTGTTATAAGCTTTTTAATTAATCTATGTACTAACCTTGTTGTTATTTTCTCATAGGTTGGGGACGACGTGGATATATACAACCAACGGTACTATTTGGATCAAAGACCTATTGATCCAACCGACTTGTCCGACCAATCCAACCATCATTCAAGGGATGTTTGGAACGATCACCCGGTACATACAATTCTTCATCATTTGTCTTTCTTTTGGTTGTTTTCAATAATTTAATCGAATACATAGCGCCACTTACTTCGACTCTTTATAAAGAGATGCATGTCTAAGGAAATGGGGTTTTAAGTGATTATCATGATCCTCCCATTTTCTGGGAAAATCGGGTATTAAGAGATCCTCGGATCCCCCCCTTTTTCTGTCAAAAAGGTTGCGTTTCTAAGAAGATGTATACCTCTTCTAAGAGTCTAACGAGTGTTGCATTATATTCGATTAAATTATTTAAAACAACCAATACGATTAAATTATTTACCAAACAACCAATACAATTTATGTTTATGTGTACTTAAATGAATTTTATTAATTTTTAATGTTTGAATATGTATGTATCTCTTTAAATTATTATTCATTTAGAATGTTATTTACGTCAATTATGACTTTCAAATATAACCATAACGACTTGCAATGTCAGCGATTATGACTTTAACCTTCAGGTCAGGATCTTGCTCAATTAGATGCTTGATAGGCGCAGCAACCACGTTGGATTTCAACTGTCGATGGCCTTAGGATGTTATGGATGACACACATGTGTGTGTGTTCAGCGCACGGGATATGACCCAATGGTCGTGTCTCTTGCTGTTGATGGCCCGAATCCTAACATTGCATCCCTCATTATGATTACGGCATCTGATTATTAGCCTTTTCGTGTTGGAATGAGTTGTCTGCCATTCAAAATGCCGAGTCAATGCTTCAGTATCAATGGCTTGCCGCACCTCCTTCTTCGAGCCAAATTGTTGGCCCTTCATAAACCCAGTGAGTGGACCCCGTACTGGAAGCTCTGGGGGTTCCATGTCACTGTCGACCATCCAATTGCCGTCTGGAATGTGATTGTAGTAG